CAATAACATCTATATTTGAAATAAATTGCACAATAACTTGTTTTCATAAATATCTCATAAATATTAAAATTACATAAGTTATTAGATACATTCATAGATAAATAAGTATAATGGATACATTGCAAATCATGAATCTTCAATTTTCAAACATTAATTTTAAAAAATAACTTAAAAATGGTTTATTCTTGAAAATTTTAAAATTCACAATTATTTTAACCCTGAGAACGAAAAATTTAGATCAATTCAAAAGTAAAAAAAAATCCCGCCTGTATAGTATAAATGGAATAATAATAAAATTAGAATTACGCATTCTAAATATTGGATTCTAAAAATTTTATAATGATTCTTCAAAAAATTTCTACGAGTGAATTTTATGTTATTCGTAATGTTCATTATAATTTAAATTACAAACAAATAGCACTGTTTCAAGTCAATTTTTAAATTTAATAGATGAAAACCTCTAGTTTACGTCGCCGGCATACTGTATTGGGTTGTGGTTGATATTAAAGCAAGGTCAGTAATCTGCGTCGTGGTAATTGGATCATCAGGTGTTTCATAGGCGCTAAGATGAAATTGAATCAATATCACCAAATAAGTAGTAATTGCTCCTGTCATCTGGGAAAATTTATTAAATTCGCACATTAATAATAAAATATTTATCTATATATTTTTTAACATTATTAAACTTACCGCAAACAATAAAGTAAAATCGACATCGAAAAATCCACACGGTGAAAATTTTACGGTCTGATGCATTAACTGGAGAGAAAATAAATCCACCTATAGAGAAAATCATTTTTAGAAAAAAATAAAAATTATGATAAGTTATTGATAGTAATCAAATCAAATCAATTTATCAATTAAATCGATACTAATCAAATAAAAATCAAAAACAAAACCTTAAGAGGAGCTTGATATTGTGAATGTTAAACGAAAGTTTCGTACAAAGAATGAAAAAGTTGAAATATATTGTGGTAATATCGTGGTAATTAAATAAAATGTTTAAAAATTGTTGAAACTATTTTCTATCAAATGCGGATGTCAAAATATAAGATAACATTAAGAACTTTTTAGTATTCATTCGATACTATTTAAATCGCATTTTCAAATATGAACAATTAATTCGTGAATTAAATAATGCTTGAAAATGTAATTAAGGCCAAGGTTATTGATACAAGCCCAACCTTATAGAAAACTAGTTCATTATGTTGAACGCAATGAACGCAATTTGATATTTTCTATCATATAACTATTGAATTAGAACTCAATAATGCTTAAATTTTTCAACTAGAAAAGAATTGTTTTAACGTGTTTCATTTTCATTAATATTATGTACTGAAGATAATAATATTATCATTTAACTATATAAAACGTCCAAAGAAAATTATGGCTCTTAGTATTTTCATATATTCATATATATATATAGAATATTTAGAGAGAAATAAAACTAAAGATAAAACTCAATGTAGGGCATCACCGCAGCTATTTTGTATCATGTAATGAATAAAGAAATAGTGCAAAATATTTTATAATATTGTTACAATTTTACAACATTCTATTAACAATAACGTAGCGAAAATTATACTTTTTATTAACTTTGTATTTCATATTTTAACCAAATTACTTACAAAGTCTTTATATCTATCGTCAGTTGCTTCTGATTTGATTTTGTGCACTAATGGTCCTGTTTGTTTAGCCTGAAATTTGATTATATATATGTTATATATATATATATATATATATATATATATATATATTAGGGTGGTCCTTAATATGGACATTTTCGAATTTCCTTGCTCCCAAGGGCCCAAATGGTTCCAAATTGATAAAAAACAATTCACTGAAAGTTTTAGCTCTTAATATTGTCTTTTAGATAGAGCGCAATTCAATTGAAGATTTGTATGGAAATAGCATGAAAAAATTTGGCAGAGCATTGAATTTTCAATAAAAAATGACACGAATTTTCACTTTTAATTCATTTGTTGCTAAGTTATACCTAAAAGTTTTTTTTTAATTTTTAAAAATTTTTCCATGCTATTTCCATACAAAGTTTGATTGAATTGCGCACTATCTAAAAGTTGATATTAAGAGCTTTCAGAGAATTGCTTTTTTATCAATTTGGAACCATTTGAGCCCTTGGAAGCAAGGAAATTCGAAAATGTTCATATTAAGGATCACCCTAATATATATATATATATATATATATATATATATATATTATATATATATATATATATATATATATATATAATATTTGGTGCTCTGCCTTAGAAAAAACACTGGCGGCGCTAGACCATGCATGGGGGACGGCGAAATTAGTTTGCAAGGCTGTCCTTTTTTCCCAGTTAAAAAAATGTTAAAAAACAAATTATAGTTAAACTAATATATGTGTATATGAGATTTATTTCCAATGAAATAATTACACAAAATTAGCTTAACAAATTGCATAAGTTAAAATAGACGAACTCTTCAGCAAAAATAGTTGGTTCTCTAAATACATAACCCAAATTAGAAACACACAAAAATCAAATAGTTTTTCTCATCAGAAAAGAACCCGATTTGTCAATTTTATGGTTTATCGACATTTCAAATCATACCGACTAGCTTGACACCTTTTGAACTAGTTGTAGGTATTATTTTGTCTTGAGGCAAACTTCATGATCTTTTCGACACTAGAATCCAAAATACTAGACCCAATCAATAAGAATTTATCTAATTAGATACAATTTTAAACAGTTTCATTCAAAATAGTTTTTTCTTCCAATGCAATTAATTAATTGTTAAAGTTTAATTAATCTATAATTATAATAATTACAATAGAACGTACTCATGACATGACCTGACGGCCCATTATTCCAAACTTTAGCGATTTTTTATAATTAAACCATTTGTCGTAGTCCCATCAAATTTGATGTTAGTTTAGGCTATGATTTCTGTCTATATACAATTTTTACTTTAAGAAAGTTTTTCACTATGAATCACGAGAGAACATCGCGGCTAATCTTTACCAAAAACCAATGGGGACAATAACCAACTGAAAATTTTCAAACAGTTTTTGAATTTTCAAAATTGATTCAGGGTTTTTGTCGAAATCGCAAATAAAAAAATTTACACTTACATATCCAATAGTTTTAGCGTATATATTAATACGATAAATAAAATTAAAAACTAATTCTGTTTATACTTACCTCATTCACCGTCATGTGGCAAGATGCACATAATAAAATCAATGGGACAATTGCAGGCAAAATCCAAAGTGCTGATGCGATAGTATACAAATCGTTAACAAACTTAGTATTTGTCAATATTGTAAATACTAAATACAGTTGTCCAGTAGTTGATATAAATGCAACTGCAATATTTGCCAGCATGGAATAGCTAAAGGACTATATCAAAAAGTATATTAATAGAAAGATAATTCATTGTTAAAAAATAGTTTAAAATTACATTTAATTTTTTGGCAATTTTTAACTTACCATACCACAAGTTAAATAAAACGCAAAAACATAAATGATGTTTTTTTATGTTTGGAGCACAACTAGTGTGAAATTTTTAAAAAATAGAATTTTCAATTTTTCCATATTTCGATAGGTTATACCTTTAAAAATAACATACCAAAATTTTAAATCTATATCTTAAACAGTTTTTGAGTTATAGCCTTTTAAAAGATTATATATATAGTAACTAATATAAGATTCATTTTATCTTTAAACGCGTTTTTCTCGAAACAGCATTTTCCGAATTTGCTGCAGTGATTACTCAAAAACAAATGATCCGATCACTATCAAATTTTTCTATTCTCCGTAAAATGAACTACCTATTTTTTGATCGGATCAAAAATCGAATTTTGGCAGTCCAAAATCGCCCAAAATTTTGGGTAAATTTGCCTTTTTTTAAACGCCGCCATTTTGTCAATTTTTGATTTTTTCTTTTATCGTAGTTCATTTTACAGACAATATTATCTAGTTTAATGAGATTTTTTTTGTAATTTCATCCACATAGAAGGTCGGATCACTGCAGCAATGAAGGGCCTTTTTTCGCGCCATTGGAGATCGACGATAACTTAAAAAATATTTAATTTTTTTCTTCAAAAATTTTACTATGAATTCTTAAAACATGTGTAAATATATTCCTAAAGTTTTGAAATGATTAATAAAGTATTTTTTTTAATATAAATTCCCAAAAATCACCTTTGTTTAGGCGGTTATACTAGTTGTGCCCCTTAAGTTTCAAAGCTTTCTAAATCATGTATGCGTGTATTCTATTGTATAGGGATAAAAAAAAATTGAGATAAGAAAAAAAAATAGTCAATGTTGATAACCATAGTAATTAACAGAATTTTGATACTGGTTTTAATGGTTTGCATAATTTTTATTAATTTTCACATAGCATAGTGCTAATATTAAATTAAGTTTCAAAAGTGCACTTCCAAAAATTTCAAATCCATCAAATGAGAAATTTTCCTACATAATTCTTAAATTTATTGAAAATTTATTCGTAATTATGATTGGTGAAATTCACCACGATTAAAAATTAAATTATGTATTAAATACCTACATTTTGAAACTAATGAAATAATTTTAAGATAATTTGATTATAACAATGTGAACAAGCTCTAGGAAAATAGGGTCAAAAAGATAGAAAGAGCGAAAAATCGAAAAATTGAGATCATTGTTAAAAAACTTATTTGTTACAAAATTTACAATACAAAATCATTCCAATCAAACATCGGCTTTAAATTACTTAAATAAAATTAAATAGCTGATAAATTAATTTATAACTTACTTTGTCAATAAGGCCACATATGTCACAAAGCTCATCATGCAGCTCACATAAAAATGCTAACTGGTCTATTAAAGCATTTGAATTTAAAATTTTTGCTTTGTTATAACTTTGGAATACAGGTTTGTAAGTATCAAAATTGGATGGATGGTACAAAACTTCGGGGGCAATAGAATCGGCATCAGTGACATCAATTATTTTAATGTCATTATTGAAATTAGGTAGTGCATTATTTTTAAGATTTTTAGTAAATAATTGGTCAGAATGGGTTATTGTTGTAATAGTATTTTTTACAAGAGGTGGAGTTTGTTTTGTAACCGTTGTAAAATTTTTTGTACGATATTCCGCAGATTTTTCTTGTTTTTGACATGATTCACTTAATTTGCGCAATTCATTGTTTATTATGCAAAATCGTAGTCTCATTATAAAGGCCATATTAATCATTTGAAAATATCGCAAACCTGATGATCCCATGGGAAGAGCGTATGTTATCCATACCGGAACCGAATTTACATCAAAACGGATCATGTAAGCATACAATATTGTATTAATCAACAAAGAATACGTTATCAAGCCAGAAAGAGTTGAATTATACAAATTTTTCGCCAATAATCATATCGAAAGTCATGTTTGATTCGTTTTATGATAATAGCATCGAATTCATATAAACGTCTCAATGCTTCCATTAATGAATTCTTAGCAAAACTGATTCTATCCATGTTGCTGTTTGGGCCATGAATGCGCCTATTATTTGAAAACAATCGGTTGTTGTTTCAATACTATTATTGGCTTGAAATTTATCTGAGAAAAACCTATCCAAGGTGGCAAGATAGAAAACATATGTATTCAAACAAACTAAAGTCAATGGTAAAATATTATATATCCAAGAAGTGATAATTTTATGCGTTTTTAAACGAAATGTTGCTGTTCCCATCATTAAACATATGAGAAAGAATGGTGTTACAGAATTGTAAATTGTAGATTGTTGAGTCATGGCTCTCTTCTTTTATCGAAATAATCACTAATTTTATTCTTTATCAAATATAATTTAAAATTAAAAACTTAATTTGATCGAAAATAATACTGTCAACAATACACTCTGATTACAATCACACTTTGATATTTTATCTATTAAAATTTATTTAATATTACTTCTAAAATCACACCACTCTCTTCTATGAAAGCGCTTAGATACAAAATGCTTTAATTAAGTATATATTGAACTTTGCATATCTGAGTCTTCAATGGCTCTGTTTCATATATTCATTTTCATATAAAAGCGTCCCCAAAAATATATATATATATATATATATATATATATATATATATATATATAAATATATATATATATATATATATATATACATATATCATAAATTTATTATATAAAGTAATAAAATTAATTCAATGTGACTTTACCGCAAGCGCGATGCGCGAAGATCAATAATGTCAAACAAATTACCTGCTTAATTAATGAGTCCATTAATATAATTGGTAATAAAATACAAATGTATTGATCTGGTATTAATATTGATATCGTAAAAAATTCAAAATAAGCAATTACCCATTACATAATTTGGATTTGTAAGAAACATTTTACTGGATGACAAATGAGAACAACTTTTAAAAAGTATGGAATATTTAAATTTTATATACCTTTATAAATTCTAATAAAATTAAAGACCTTTTTTAATACATTTTACTTCAGTGCAAGCTTTTCCAAACAAATTTAAAATATCAATAAAAGTTTTTGAAGTATAATCAAATTTAAAATATTTGTTTTATTTTTTTACCTAATTTAAAACTTTATACTAATACAGAAACATAGAACTTATCAATTGAGATAGCCACATATTTTTCGAATGTTAGCAAATTATTTTAAATTGAAAAATATATTTTGAATTTTAAACCATATTCAAACTAGTGATAATACACACATCTGATAGAAACAGTTAGTTATTATATAGGATAGGGCGGGGCACAAAGAACCAATTTGACTTTTAGTCAAACCCAATGAACTACGTCACAACACATAACACGTATCAAATAAATAACTATCAAACTATGTTCAGTAAAATTCCCAGTTAATGACTAATTATAGAATAGTGATTTTTTACTATTTTTATAAAATTTGTCATCTGTTCCTTTGTACCCACAAAATGAGACAGCCAGGGGGCAAACATACCCAAAGTTTTATTTCTAACTTTAAAGAGATTTTACAATATAATTACTACATTCAACCGATGCTAAAGGAATAATAAAGGATAAATTTCATGAGCATATTTTTTACAAAGATAACACTGTATATAACTCTAATCTAGTATTTTGACAGAATTGTTCATCAGTAGAGTTCGAATAAATCTTAATTTATTTTATCTGTTGTAAAATTGCTTTTTTTAACTCAATACTTCTTATTTACTATTTTTTTATTGTTTACATCTTTGCCAGGGTGAAGGTTCAGTTGGTCTTTTTTACCCACGCTATGAATTTAAAGACCTTTTTTAATAAATTTTACTTCAGTTAATTAGCTTACCCACGCGTAAGCTATTATAGAAGTTATATAAAAACATCTATTGAATTTAACTAAAAAATAACAATACCTACATGAATTCGGCAACAAACATTAACTTTGTTCATTTAATTTTAATTTAATTTTAAATGAACCAAATTAAGTGACCTAAGTATATAAAATGTAGTGTTACTACATAATGTAAGTCTAATTCGTTGTATACATGTATCTCATACAATTTCAATAACAAAAGCATATAGATTATCAGAACATGTGACATTTAAAAGTTCAGAGATTTATATATAATATTTAATCTTGAACAAAAAAATTTAATGATCCTAATATGTACAGGCATATTTTATTTGTGTTATATTTAACAGTCTTGAGTATGGTCACAGGGGAAATGAAGCCAAAAAAAAAAGTTGTCGGTGGAATAAGCACAAATATTGCAAAATACCCATTTACAATATCATTACGAAGTAAAGAGGAGTAAGTATTTTTTTTTTAAATAAAATCTGATAACTTAATCTACGGCGTTTACAAGAACTATCTTGTAATTGTGAAATCAATTTTAGATTACGATACTGAAGAATATAATTTTTAAGTAGCTGTGGACCAATAATTATATAGAAGGATGGCGTTGAAAATATTTGTTATATATAAAATACCTTTTTTTAGGCAATTCTTTTATCATTTTTGGAGTAAATTTGTCCATACCCGACGAAGATCTGTTTTTCATCTTTTTTATTTCACATAAGACATCATTTAGTGAAAAATGCCCTAACGGTGTTGAATGAATGGGTTGATTTACGAAATTGTTAATTAAATTATTCTGGAAAATATTTCGAGCGCTAAAATGCAACTTAATAAGATTTAATTCACATAGAACCGATTGAATTTTTATTCTGGAAAAGATGTATAAAACAAACAAATAGTCAATAAAAAGTTAATTAGTTATTCCAATTCTGCTGATGAATATTTCTGGCAAAATACCATATCTAGGTTATATGCAGTACTCTATCTTTGTAAAAAATGTGCCCATGTGCCATGTGCCATGAACATTAGTACGGAACCCATATAATTGTACACAAAATTTGTATCTATTATTATAATCTTTATAAAATCTAACATTCTAAAGTCTAACATTCAGTTTTGACCGCCAAATGGCATTATTTTTCACTTTTTTTATTCTACAAACAAATCACCATTTGTTCATTTCGTCAATACGAGTAAAATGTTGTTTGAATTATTTAAATCGGACGCTCCGTTATCGCAAAAACTAAAATACCAATTTTGGCACTTTTTTCCCGTATCTCCGAAACGGCTTAGACCTGCCGTTGCCAAAAACTAATCAGCACGTCTCCTTATCAGTAGGAATCAAAATCAAAATTATTCAAATCGGTTAATCCGTGTTGGCAAAATCGTTGACAAAAACTATCCGCACACACACACATACATCCATATTTTCTAAGGTATGTCAAAATGTTCAGAAACCTCTAAAACGTAAAGATGTATAAAAAATTTCATTTTCGTTTTTTGCGATTACTATAACTTACCCTACGGGAAGTTAATATTTCATTTATAAAATAAACTGATGATAAGTCTACTTAAAAAATAGACTTATCGTCAGCTTATTTTATAAATACTATAGATATAATGTTTGCATAAATAAATTGATATTATAGTCATATGTGTGGTGGAATACTAATTAAAGAAGATTGGATTTTAACAGCTGCGCACTGTTTAATGATGGCCTCCGAATGCTACATGAAGCTGAGAAAAGCTATATTTTATCAGGCACTTGCAGGTAACTAACACGATATTTCTCTAAAAACTTCAATTGGTAATGATTTTAACTGTTTACCATAAATCATTCATTTATTATTCAAAATTATAACTATTAATTTCGTTTTTGACCATAAGATTTCACTCGATAGTTAAAAGGTGTGTGATATTTTTTCTATTGATGAATTGTTTTAAATTTGTAATTTACATACTAGTATAATATACATAAAATTATCCAAATAGCATTAATAAATTCAACTACAGTGTATAATATTTTCTAAAAGTAGGACAAACTTTAATGGGTTCTTTAACTAAAGGTAGTTAACATTAACTATTGATCATGGTGTAAAATATCATTACCATACGAGCAAGTTTTAAAAAACATGTAATGTGAAACTTATTGAAGTTTATATTTATTAAAAGCACTATTTATAACATTTGCTATATTTAGATCATAATATGTTTTCAGGTACTACATTTTCTGATGATAAAACGAAAGTTGGCCAAATAAAACAATGCATTTATTTCTATACACATCCTGAATATGATCCAGAAACTCTTATGAACGATATAGGCTTGGTCCAAATAGAGAGTCCTTTCCGAACAGGAGAAAATGTACAAGTAAGATTATACATAATATATTTTTTTATTTTTTCTAGTAGAGGCAAAGAAATTTTTTAAAAACAAATTAATTAATGAATGTTTATTAATTAAAAGTGTTGATAATTTAATGTTTTTTTTAACAAAAATTAGTTTTTTATAAATTTTGTAAATCGCTGAAAACTGTATTAATTTGTTTTAACATTTTTATAAATTTGAAAACTGCAATTATTTTTAAAAAAAATTAAATTTTAAGAAATCTTAATTATTTTGAATTTTAGTATATTTGATAAATCAGCTGCAAGATCAAAGAATTTTTCTGATTTTTTAAGATATGATTTTTAACTGTTTATTAAAAAAATAAAGTCTCCGCTTTTAATGAATACTAATCAATGTGAATTGCCATTGATGTCTTTCAAGAAACTTATAATTTCTATAATTGTATCAATTATACTGCAAGAAAAAGCGCTTGGGTGTACTAAAAGTGCGGCCCATTATTTCCATCTTTAATGAATTTTTATAATTAAACCACTTGTCGTAGACGCATAATATTTTAGGATCTACGACATTATCATTCGTTTTGAAAAATTATAAACTCTATCGCTATAAAAATTTATTACAATCGTAAAAAAATTATACTTACTAATAGTTATACTAATGCCAATTAACAGTCAATGAAATGCCAATGAAAGGTCAAATTTTGGCTCATATGCACACATACTTTTTCCATTTATATAGTTATTAAATCGGATTTTCTGGCGAAAACATTAACTTCTCCTTCGGGAAGTTAATATTCATCTAAGTTTCTTCAATCATTGACCAGATTTTTTACAGCACCTAATCTAAATCAATAGGCTTGATATTTACAAAAAAAAATCGTTCTGAACAAAAAACAAAATCATTATTCAGTTTAGATTATAAACCAAGTTTTGCGGACCAACTTGGACAGAATTTATGATTCTCATCTTATAACTTGTCACAAATATTGGATTACATAATTGTCAATTGGCCTTGCAGTAAAACACTAATTAATTATAGTATCGACACACAGAACAAATTGGCAGTAATGCACTGAAGCAATTGAAAGACACTGTTACAAAAATTGTTTGCAAAAACCAATTCAATGATGCTGAATACAGAATCAACTTAAATAAATACCTCAAAAAAAATTCTATTAAAAATCAAATTTATTTATTAAATTAAAAATCAATTAAACTAGTCGTGTATGACATCGTGCCTTAAGGCAAACTGCTGGAACTTCCCGCACCTTAATAAATTATTCGAGGAATATTAAATGTTTTCAAATAGATTATTATAAATAATGTAACTTTCATTATTCTTATTGTATAAAAATTGAATGAACAAAACTTAATCAATCGGATTTAATATGAAAAACATTATAACATATTTCTAAGTATTTAATAAACTGAATTGCAAAGTGAAAATAATTTATTTGAAGTCTACAAGTGACGTTTAGAACTTTTGTTAGATATTTAAAAAAAAATACTTTTGAAAATGAAAAAAAAAGATTTAAAAATAATTTCTTTACCCAAAAGCAAACGTTTCGCAAAAAATTTTTTAAATCATTCAAATCGGATGCTTAGTTTTCTAAAAAACTGCCATTTTTTTTCACTTTTAGCTCTATATCTCCGAAACGTTCCTGCCTTTGCCAAAATCTAATCCCCTCTTCTCAACATCATTACAAATCGAATGTTTTTTCAATCATTCAAATTGGTTAATACATTTTCTTAAAAACTGACATTTGTAACACTTTTTGCTCCATATCTCCGAAGTCGCTGAACCTGTCTTCGATCTTTTTTGAACCATTCAAATCGGTTCATCCGTACGCCCGAAATCGACGACGTAAAATTGTCTCCACACATACACACGCACACGTCCATTTTTTCTGAGATATGTCAAAATGTTCAGAAGCCTCTGAAACGTAAAGATATGCAAAAATTTTCATTTTCGATTTTTGGCCCATTACTATATAACTTACCTTACGAGAAGTTAAAAATTTTTGGCAGTAATTAGTGAGTGCTTCTTAAAAGTTAACAGACTCGTATTGGTGCATCAAGAAAATTGTAACAAAATATTGATTGATAAATTTGAAAACATCATTTCTATCATAAAAAAATATTCTAATAAAAGTAAACAAGATTAGCATAAAATTCCTTAGCGGGTAAAATTACGTGTTTTCTACACGGTCAATTAGATACTGCCTCTCTTAGAGACTTTTCATAATCATCAGCATTATACGTTTTTTATCTATATGATAAACAGCAATAAATATTTAATTTAATACTACAAAATAATTTGTTTTATTATGATAAATATAACCAATGGTGGTTAACTTGATAAAGCAGTAAGTGATTAATAATATTAATAAATCAATAATTCCCAGGCCTACAAAAAATTCATTTTGTTTGGTGCATCAAATGTAAGAGCCGATTCTTATAGTATTTTTTGCGCTGATTTCAAATTTGCAAGCCATTTTTTGTATCAGCTCTAGTTTTGAATTCGGAAAGAAGTTGCCGAAACCAGGTCCATTGTAAGTAGTTACGGAAAAAAACTTTTTACAGTGTCAACTAATGTCCCAACTAAGGCCGAATGAGTCTTGTAAGTTTGTATGTACGAGTAGACATATATCATTAAAATAACATTCTGAATAGTATTACTATTTTCTACTTTCATTCCTTATATATCATATATTTCATATCTTGAAAACTAAAGCTCATAAAAAAACCAATGTCATTTTTTAAATCAGCGCCCCAAATATACTAAAAAACAGCATTAAAATCGTTTGCACCATTTTCTTTGTTGGCCTGTGAATTAATCAATTGTACATCTAAATTTCAGGTCGCAAAAATATCCAACTATTACGAGAAGTATGCTGGTGATGATGTGCCTGAAAATACTAATGAAATTGTACAGTAGTTGGCTGGGGGTCTCTCGGAAAAAATGTTAAGAACCATGTGACAACGCTTCAAAAAGCCAATTTGGATGTTCTACCAATAAGAATATGTAAAGAGAAACTTAGTGAGTACATAGTTCCTGACAAGGATATGTGCTTACTATCAGCAACTGTACAAGGTAATTAATACTATGATAATTTTTCATGTTATCAAATTATTCAACTATCAACTATGAGTAACTTCCAGATGTATATAAAATATCAACTTAATCAATAAGAATTGAGATTTAGCAACTATTTCATTTTTATGATTTTTACTACCACTTTCGCACTATTTTAGGAGTTGTTGTGTACAATTTACTTTATATTGACAATTAATTATGAAGAAACGGTTCTTAGGTTTTTTATCAAAATCTAGTCAGCGTAATTTTCACTTGGAATCTTTCGAACATATCATAAATATGAAATCTGAGAGAAAAGTGATGGTTAATGAAACTTATTGTTAGTAAAAATCAAAGATGCCTTTTGAAACGGAACCTTCTAACATTCTATTTTAATTCCGGGCAAATTTTTGCACAGCAAGTACGAAATAACTTCGCTTATATAAATCATAACGTTATATACATTATGAGAATCTTATATTCACAATATTTTGTTAATAAGTGAAGTAAGTTAATAATTTTATAATTTTTTTCCCAGGTTTCTTGTTACGGGGACTCAGGTGGCCCAGTGGTTTGTGAGATTTCTGAAGTCGAAGCGATAGTTTTCAGGATCAACTGGAGACTTTGATTGTGCCATACCTCATTTGCCGTATCTCTTTGTACGAATAATGCCATATGAAAATTGGATACATAATATTATAGAAAATAAGCCCAAATGAGCAATGATGATATACGTTATTCAAATAAAACTAAATGCACTAGCTACGATAAGGGATTTCAAGGAAAGCATGATACAATCAATGAAGGAAATAAAGGAAATCATTTCTGCAGCAACATGAATTTCGTCGTTGTTATTCTACTTTTATATATATTCTTAAATATTATATAATATAAGCTATCAAAAAAGCTAGATGTTATGATTAATATATTTAAATATAGTTCGAATAAAAGTTCAGTTGAATCTTTGAAGTATTTATTGGTTTTACTCAAAAATATATTCATAAAACATTTCGTCGTATTTTTTCCCAGAATTCGGTTTAGAATCTTTTATTAAGATTTTATTGTATTTTGTTAAGAGTTACATATATTTTTAACTTCCCGTAGGGTAAGTTTTTGTAATCGTCCAAAAATCGAAATTAAAATTTTTGCATTTCTCGACGTTTTGAAGGTTTCTGAACATTTTGGCATACCTCAGAAAAAATGGATGTGTGTGTGTGTGTATGTATGTATGTATACAATTTTTTGGGCGCACGGATCAACCGATTTGAATTGTTCAAAAAACATTCGATTCCTATTGATAGGGAGATGTGCTGATCAGTTTTTGGCAAAGGCAGGTCCAGCAGGTACGGAGATATAAAGCAAAGAGTGCAGAAATAGAAATCGAGTTTTTGAGAGAACAGAACATCCGATTTGAATGATCTAAAAAGCATTTATAGCGGGTTGTCAACACGCATCGCGGCTCGTCAACACGCATCACATGTTCTGGACAGATGGCCCATATAGTGACAGCACTGAGAAAAACAAAAGGAAATTCAAGTGTCAGATCGTACTTGGTTTTTGTTTCTCCCTAATAGTTTTTGCTAAAAAATGTATGATTCTTAAAACCTTTCTTTTTAATTATAAATACGAAAATACCAATAACATTTATTAACGATTAGTATGACAACACATAGTGTCGTGGATATTAATCATATATAAAATAAACGAAATATAAATAATATTTTATGAATTTATTATTGTCTATCATTTTGGTATTTAATATGGACCACACCTCCATACATTCAATTTGTAATGATTGGGAAAAAAGATGATTTTGCAGAAGCAGGCTCAGCCATTTCGAAGATACAGAGTTAAATGTTGCACAAAATGGCAGATTTTGAAAGAACTAAGCGTCCGATTTAAATGATTCAAAGAACTTTCTGCTTGTTTTAATAAAATAATTGATTTTGGAAAAAAAATTGTTGATTTTAATTTTAAATTCTGACTAAAGTTCTAATATACTTTAAACAATAATAAAATATAATATTTATAATAGGATAATAATTTATATATTCATTTATATAATTTCTTATATATAGACAATGTTATAGTATTTATTTATAATAGTCTATTTGAAACATTTAATATTCCTCGAATATTTCGTTACGGTACGGAAGTTCCAGCAATTTGCCTTAAGGCACGATGCCATACACCCCACTAGTTTTATTTGTATCAGAAAAGATTATTATTGTTTAAATAATTGTCAAAGTATTCAAAGATTATACTAATATAAATATGTTATTGCAGTATTCGTTTTAATCAAGACCCGCTTTCTATAAAATAACTCGATATCACACGCTCCATAATTTTCACTTTATTATAATATTGCGTTTGGTCTTGCACTACGTTATTGCAGAAACTCGTTACATAAATCATAGAGTTTGGTCGAGCACCCCCCAAAATAACATGTATTCATTTACAACCCTTATGCACATGCAATGCGCCGTCAATTTCCAACTGTGAACACACCCATCTTGCAAATTCGAATGGAAGCATTCCTTTTCAAAAATACCGCACAATGCATTCATACTACATTGCCTTCACCAATTGAATCAAGCCTCTGCCAGCCAAAGTCAATCCCTTCTTTTATTTGTAACAATCCCTATCAAACCTTAAATTCCCCTACCTCTCAAAAACTATAATGGGGCATTCCTACTAAAGTGTCACTTACAAATTTCGATGATTAGTATTGATCGAGACTGCAAACGCACCGGAATATATTTTAGCGAAATGGAGATTAGATTTGAAACACCTTCGACGTGTAGTTCGAATATTTTTAGACCTTGGATTAGTAGTGACAAACAAAAAACTTGTGTAACAGTGCCAACGAAAGGTGATAACAATAGTCAAATGGTAGAATCGACATGCAAATTGACATCAAACTGTGGAAAGCCATTCTCAACTAATTTACCAAACCATGATCCTAGAACTGCAGGGTATCATACATCAGCTTTTCAGCTATGGCCTTGTCCAGAATTTTTGCCAGATCCGCATTTACCGGCTCATTATTTTGAGAACGTTCAATTGTCATATATGATTAGTCAACATCTTCAAGAGGAAAAGTTGTCGAAAGTATTTCGCGCACGAAAACAAAGACCACGAAAGTTCAAGTGCCCCCACTGCGACGTCCGCTTTTCCAATTCCGGACAGCTTAGAGGACATGTACGAATTCATACCGGTGAGTTCAATTTTTATATATTCAAATAAAAGGACATTTTATTATTTTTTATTTATAAATATAATATAAGTGTTGGATAAAAGTTATTAGTTGGGATTCGTGCTGATTAGTGGTGTTAAAAATCGGCCAGGGCGTTTCTTCGTAATTAACAGTTATTTTTTTCTCTTGGCGATCTTGATGAATACTTTTATGATGGGGTTCATGGTCACAAAGAACATCCTAAAATATAATATCCCTGTGAAACTATACAATTTTAAAAGCTTAGCTCAATAAAGTTTGATATACCGATTGCAAAAATTTCAAAGCCGTTTGTTGGAAATCTAATTTGCGTTGATTAATTTCACGCGATCGATTGAACCATTGTTTTAGAATATGCAAAAAATTCTTTTACGTTTTCACACAAAAGCCAGAACTGATTTTGAAAATTTAAAAACTGTTCAAATGGTATCAGTTGGAGATTGTGCTTATTAGTTTTTCGCGAAGTTCGCTGGGTAGTTTTTCTCATAATTAACTAAAAAAAATTTTGGCTTTGATGAATTTAATAAATGTTTTTGTGGGGATAGAGATCCTGGTCTTAACAAACGTCCTGAAACATAATAGGCTTACGAAAAGTGGTTTAAATAAAAATTGATTTACATTTAGAATAATGAGCGTTTTTAGGAAATATACTGTGTATGTTCAAAGCACATATTAACGCATTATAATTAATACAGTCACATATATTATAAATCTTTGAAAGATATCAGTTGGAAAAAAATAGTTAAAATAGTTCCCGTACCTTAATGACATATTTGAGAAATATTAAATGTTTTCAAATAGATTATTATAATTATTTGAAGTATTACAAGTAATATTTAGAACTTTAGCGAGAATTAGAATTAAAATCTGAATTATTTTTCGATATTCAATAATTTTTTTTAATTAAAAAAATTTAAAAAAAAATCCTAAAGCAATCGTTTCGTCAACACAAGCAGAAAGTTTTTTAAATCATTGAAATATGATGCTTAGTTCTCTCAAAAACTACAATTTTTGGCACATTTAGCTTTGTATCACCACTTCTCACAATTATTACGAATCGAATGTTTTTTGGATCATTCAAATCCGTTCTCTTAAAAACTAACATTTTTAGCACTTTTTGCTCCATATCTCCAAAGCCACTGGACCTGTCTTTGCCAAAAACTAACAGCACATCTCCCTATCAATAGGAATCGATTGCTTTTTGAATTCTTCAAATCAGTTCATCTATACGCCCGAAATCGTCGACGGAAAATTGTCTCCACACATACACACACACATACATTTATTATGAGGTATGCAAAAATGTTCAAAAACCTCTGAAACGTGAAGATATGCAAAAAAAATGTTTTCGATTTTTGGCTCATTACTACAACTTACCCTACGGGAAGTTAATTAACTATTGATTAACATCTGGCTTTAAGACAAATGCATTGGCCTTTACTATGTATTGAATTTTTTTAAAAAAATATTTATTATTTATTTATTTGATATAATTCATACATACTCTCAGTCAGACAATTGTTCTGGTATGAGAGATCACAGCAATTATAACAAAATATAATCTAAATTTTGTGTAACAGACTTACATTAAGACATCTATATATTTTTACTTATTACTATTATACAC